ATCAGGAATCCTGAGATCTGCAAGGTGGAACTTGCATTTTTCTCTTCAGAAATTCTGGCATTGTAATAGTGTGGATAAGTTTGGAATCATTGCTTAAATGATACTGGCATCCTTCTTGGTGTAAGATCCAGTTACAGCATTGCTGCCATCCTTTTCTTTGCTCCAGGCATGGAAAAAATGTTATCATTAAGATAGGAATCTTCAGTGTCAACTGTTCTTAGTCAAAGTGAGTTGATGTAAGTGGACTTATGGTGTCATTTTAATAGGGAAGTGATTTCTCAATTCAGGCATAAGAGCTACAGGTGTTGGGGGTTTGGTTTTAAGCAGTAGTGAAGTTGTCTACTCCATTTTATCCTGCTTTTTAGTGAGCTATGCAGAAACTGTGCACTTGGGCATCTGTAGGCACTCAGGAAGGCAGTCTGGGACCCTCGTCTAAGTTAAAGTTTGTCTTTATGACAGAGAAACATTCATGCTTGGCTGTTCTGATCATGTGTCCTTGCTAGACACGTAGGGCTGATAAGTGAATTTTTTCTAGCTGTCTAGGCTGCTGTTAATGAAAGGTTATTGTGATCATGGAGCTACAGTAAATTTATCCAGACATATTTTCTCTCCAATAGACTATTGAATTTCTATGAAAAATTTCAAACCTGAAAGAAAAAGAACCCATAAGCATGTTTCAGTCCTCTTCAGGCTTCCTAATGCTTCAAGTTAGGAGGTTCCCATCGTCTAGCATGCCTTCTCCAGAACTTCCTTCTGCCAGGCAGTGACATGCCAGAGGTGTTCCCTCTGTTGCATACAGTTAATGCACACATGCACAAGCAGGTGCTTTTTCTGCTGGATAGTTGTGGTGAACTGCATCTGAGGACATCAGTAGTGACATCTGGTGGCCGGGTGGGAGGGGGAAAAATGTAAAAAAAGAAATTGCCTGCCTAGCGTCTTCAGAGCTCCAAGAGGCAGCACATCCTCAGCTCTCTGCCCCAGGATCTAGGGGTGTGGTGAAGAGCGATCTCACCCCGCGGCTTGTTCCAGACGGTGGCTGCGGCTGTTCCTGGCGGGCTGTGGGACGGGCTGTGCACGTGTGGAGGCACGTTCAGCACGATCAGCTCTCCGGCTGTCGGTCGGGTCAGGACACACTGAGCCCCGCCCGCCCAGCTCTGGGTCTCCCCCTCCGTCTCCTCCCGGCTGCGGCGGCAGTTCCGCTGCCGGGGTGCGGTGCCGGGGGTGAGGCGGGGCTCCAGGCGCAGCTGATTCCGCCCAGCAGCGGTGTCTCGCTGCTGAGCTGTGCTCGGCACGCCGCACTCCAGGGTTTGTGTAAGCTTTGTAGGATGTACTGCCAGGGCGCAGGGCTCTCGGCTCAGTAGTAGTGACCCTGCACTTTGCTAATTAAGGTCTGACTTCTTTGTGGGGAAAAGAGCTGATTTAAGAGTATGGTTGTTCTGAAGGTGGGAGGTTAAGACCACAGAAAAATACATTTAGAACATTCAAAGACAAAGAAGTTTAACTCTTCACATATTTTCACAGGAAGGCAAGGATCTATTCTTAGCTTGGAATAGTTCAAGTGGGATCCAGCGCTGGATCACTAATCTCTGCTGTGCAAATGGAAAAAAAAAAAAGCAAGGAGTATTAATAGAAAATGTCTTCAGCCTTCTATATTTTGTTGTTCAGTCTTCACCAGAGCGGTGTCCTGTTTGATAACTTGACCTCTATACTTCTTTTTAATATAGGGGATGGCCCCTTCCCAGGAGTGATTGACATGTATGGTGATGAAGGAGGTTTGATTGAATTTAGATCCAGCCTCCTGGCTACCCGTGGCTTTGCTGCTCTTTCTCTGCCATATTTTGACTTTGAAGATCTGCCTAAGGTCATGAAAGAACTGAAACTGGAGTACTTTGAGGAGGCGGCTAGATTCCTGCAGCGGCACCCGAAGGTGAGTGCCAGGAGACATCCTCCCTTGGGACAAGGCAGGATTCAGCAGTCACGCCCGGGTGGTGGTGTGATTATTTTTTTGGAGTATCAGTTTCTGCTGGGCAGGTTTAGGCCCAGTAATGGAGCAAGTGTAGGTCTTGCGTGAGCAGGTACGCATCTGACTGCGGAGAGTGAGTTTCTTCCAGCACAATCTGTCTGTTAAATAAACTTGTGCTGGAAACTAGAAGGTTCCTGATCATTAGAACAGTGAAGTGCTGGAATATCCTCCAAACAGGAGCAGTGGTGATAAAGTTGTTAGTTTGGATTTATTTTTTTTTAATAACACAACTCCAAAGGCATTTAATGGCTAAAGCCATTATAACGCATACTTCCTTTACTCCTTTCTTCCTCTCTTCTCTCCTCCCTGTCTTATCTGAAGGTGAAGGGGCCAGGAGTTGGAGTGATTGGGACTGGGAAAGGGGCAGAATTAGCCCTCTCCATGATCACCTTCCTGCCAGAAGTCGTGGCTGCTGTCTGTATCTCTGCCTGCAGTTCAAACACCGTTGCAGACCTCCATTACGGGGAGATGACTCTGCCTGGGCTGCATTTTGACATGAACAAGGTCAGTGTTTCTGAGGCTGGCGTGTTTGACGTTTTCGAAGCTCTGGACGACCCAACGAATCCTGCTAATTCTCCTTCCACCATCCCCATTGAAAAAGCAGAAGGTCACTTTCTCTTGGTGGTCGGGGAAGACGACCGTATGTGGAAGAGCTCCTTGTACGCCGAGCTGGCCATCGGGCGTCTGCGCCAGCACGGGAAGGAGAACTTCAAACTCCTGAGCTACCCAGGAGCAGGTCACCGCATCGACCCCCCTTCCACCCCCTTTTGTCAGGTAGCTATGGATCGTGTCCTGGGCGTGCCTGTTCTGGAGGGTGGAGAGAAAAAGGCACATGCCCATGCCCAGGAGCACTCCTGGAGGAAGATTCAGGAGTTTCTGCACTTGCATTTGGGATGAACATTGAGGCACCTGCACGCTCTTGCAGAACTGCAGAGGACCGAGCTTGAGACACCAAAATGACTGGTGAATTGGAGGGACTGGCTGAGAAAAGCTTTGAGATACCAAACAACCAAGCGATAAATCCGAGAAGCAAAGCATTTATTTGGACTAGCCTAAGTTAACTGGGGAGACAGAGGAGGATTGAAACACTGATAAGCAGGCAGCAGTGTAGTACAAGTTTGACAGCCTGAATTGGTCATGATGTCAAGAAACAAGTATCTGAAGAGAGTAGTAGGTGCTTCCTTGCTTGCAGTGTTGATGACTTGGAGAATTAAACAGCCAGCCTGCACGCTGAGCGATGGCAGGCTGGGTCACACCTGGGGAGTGAGGGCAAGCCACGGGTGATAAAACTCTGACATCAAAATGATAAATGGTTCTGGCTTTGGGTTTCAAGTTTCCGTAGCCCAGAACTCTCAGATTTACAGCCATATACACTTTGGAAATGTTTTCTATTTACATTAAGCTAGGGGCATCTGTTTTTAATGTGGCTCATGTACCTTGACCTTAGGTAGTGGTCTTCTGGTGACACAGTCTCTTTCTTTCCAACAAAAACTACTTGTAGAGTGGGAGAATGAAGAGTACTCCTGTCATCCCAGGAGAATGGCAGCACTAGCACTGTCTTCTGCAGGGGCTGGACCCATCTGTTCCTGCAGTGTCTTGGGTTGACATTCAGGGCACCAAGGTTCTGTTAGATAGTTAAAGCATGGTTCAATGCAGTTATGTGCTGCACAAGTCTTACTTCTCTCTTTGTTGCTTGTTTTAAACTAGTAACAACTGCTATTAAGTTAGGGATTAATTACTTATGGAACTCTTTAGTAGAGGTGTTAACAGATGCTGACAGCTGTTGTTAGGGAGGAGGCAGAGCTGAGAGACAGAAAACCTAGCTAGTAGGAGATTAAGACTGACTGTAAAAAGCTGTCACCTCATGGTGATGATTAACGTAGAATCATAATACTTAAAGAAAAAACAACCCCAAAACAACAACCCCTTACAAGCCACCCTCAAAAAAAATCCCACCCAAAACAAACCAAACCCCAGTCCAAAATCTAGGATATATTTTCCATGTTTGATTGCAGGGGGTTTTTTCATTTTTTTTTTTTTTTAATTAAAATTATTTTTTGGCTAGTGCCATATTTTTCCCCACCATCCAGGCAGAAAGGAACAACTCTTTCAAAATGAGATGATGTCTCAAGAGGGTTTTGCTGGAATGGTGCCAGCACTGAGGGCCTGTTTAACAAGGGCCATGATCAATACAGCTTCTCATTCTGAGGTCATTTTGTCAGACCAGGTTGAGAGCTATACAGGAAAATACAGAACCTTCATTTATGGCACTGAATTCTGCTTTGCTCTTGGGGATCTTTCCTCTCCAGTTAACAGTCATTGTGCTGCTGCTCAGGTCCCGTTGGCTCTCTGCAACTCTTACTGTTTGACTAAAGCCATGTGTTCTCCACACACCATCACTGCCAATATAAAAATTTATCCATCCACTCCTCACCAGAGAAGCTCCATCCACTCCTCACCAGAGAAGCTCCGTCCTGCTCACTCCACACAAAATGTCCTCACGCCTAGTCTTGCTAACCTCCCTCACTGCCTGAAGAAGCCTTTGCAGAGTTGTCTGGTGCTTGAACCTCCACTAAAACCAGCAGCCCTAGAAGTCCAGGACCACAGCCTGCCTCGATGTGCATGTTGATGTCACCCGTGCTTAGTACCGTGCCTTTTTTCCAAACTCATTCCAAGTTGCAGCCAGAAAGGAAAGGGTTGTCTGGAGGTTTCTGTTTGGTCTCCTCATCATGTGCGTCTGCAGAAGTGGGAGCTGTGTAACGGTGGTGGAGCAGTGCCTCCTCAAACCCTGCCTTGCCACCCTCCCAGTGCTGATACCTGTCTCTCCACGCTGCAGTCCTACCTCGGAGTGTCCATTGCCATGCCAGAGTGCAAGCTGGAGGTTCAGGAGGTAAATGTTAAGTTGTAAACAGAACAAAACCCAGGTAACTTAAAAGCTCTCAGGCTTCATTTCTAAAGCACAAGCCTTTACTATAATTCAGTGTTAGATGTTGTCAGATATATGCAATTTGAAAGAGATGTGGAACACTTCCTTTCTTTAAAAGCAAGCCTGTGTAAGAGTTTGATGTTATATTTTTGTTTCTGAATAGTTCATGTATTTGGAAAGCTCAATGATATTTTTTAAACAAAGAAAGAAGGAAAAATAAAAATAAGGTAGCCTTACTGTGAAGGTCCTTTTGTGAGCAGGCCAGGGTGTTCCTGGACAAAATAATTCACAGAAGGGTCTGTGGAAAACCAGCCAACTTTTGCACTAGTGTTTTGTGTATTTACAATGCTACTTGGAGACCAAAGATACATCACAAAAGCTCTGCCATTTCCTAAAGCATACATTAAACTGAGTGCCTGGTTACAGCCTTAGTTAAAGCCGCGTTGTGTATATTGTTTTTCCTTCCTTACCTGACCAAGGGAGGAGAGGCCGGGGTGGTGGCATTTCATTGGGCTCTTGCTTGGGTGCCTGGGTTGGTGTCTGGGTCCGGTGTCTGCAGACCCCAAGGTGGCCGCACGGCCCCAGCCGGGGCCAGGGATGCAAAAACCTGGGTAAGGCCCGGGCGGCTCCTCAGCACCAGGACGGCTCCCCAGGGGTGCTGGGCACAGTCTGGAGCGGGGCGAGGGGCAGCGGGGCCCGCCCCCAGGCCAGAGGGCTCTCACGGGCTCAGACCGGCCGGGAC